AGTGGCAGACTAATCTTAGGTATTTCTATATCCACTTCAACGTGGCAGCGAAATTATTTTCTGGTATACAAAAGCAAAATTAGTAGCCCAGAGGATAGCAACAATTGCATATAGTCATTTCTACGAAGCGATTTTTCCTTATTTTATTGTTTTATAATGCAACAAATTGACAGTTCACCCTCCCAACATTGTACTGTTTTCTGTTCAAAATCTGTTTTAAAATTTGTTTTTTCGTTAATCAGCTATCGCTCCCATACGAACGACAACTATAAGAAGTTCAGGAACTTGTGCGAGCCAAGGTTTAACGAGGTCTTACTTTTTAACGTGTGATTCCTAACACTTCTTTATTATAATTCATTTCAACATGTTGAAATATCGTCTTGTAGGCACAAGATTGAAAGACTAGCCAAGAATATCCAAAAATGAAAGACAATGATAATCTACTTGCATCGGAAGATTTATAATCAAAGATTACTCAATCCGTAATGTTTTAAGAAAAGTTCAACGAATTTTTCGAAGCATCGAACGAAAAAACGTACAACTTTGATATGTCGAAAACGCAAAAATTCAATCTTCCAAATCACACCTATTGAAATCAAATGATATTGGAAAATAGTTGTGGAATGTGAACAATTTATTTTCCGGTAAAACTGAAAAACATCATATAACATCACAAAGTCAGTTACCAAGTCAATTGAAACAAGTTCCAGATTTAAAAAAATGAAGTTATAACCGATATATATATATACCGAATGCTTCTAACAAATTCCATGTAGATTTAATATATAAATAACCTTATTTCCACAATAGAATGTGTTGATGTAGTTGATGACATTGAAATGGCAGAATTCAGTAATGAGCACTCATTAAACACATTTTCATTTATAAATAAACAACTGCTCAGAGAATTTTTTTTTGAAAGAAATGAAATACCTAAATGTTGTTTTTCTGAAAAACTGTTCTGAAAATATTTCAGATCATCTTTTAAACATCTAAAACACCTCTCTTGAAATTGATATTTTTCCAGAACAACGGTATCGATAATAATACCCATCCCCAAGGTACAAAACTCTCAGAAGACAGTAGATCTTCGAGCTATTGATATATTCAAGCTTTTAGATAACGTAGTGCATTAACAACTGATTCATCATCTAGAAAGTAACCAATTATTGAGTAGTGTACAATCAGGATTTAGTGGAAAACATAGATTTGACACAGTTATTCAGTGTGTTATAGATGATTGGATTGAGGCCAGAGATACGAAGGGAGTGATAGGAGCACTCTTTCTGGTCTTACAAAGAGCTTTTAACTGAATGACATGACACTCTATGTAGTTGATAGTTGTCATGGTATTCCATAAGACAGAATGTTAGACCATTATTGTTTACGCTGTATATCGATGACATTATACAGTCTTCTAGAAGTTGTTCAATTCATTTGTTTTCTGATGATGCTGATATTTTTTTCACCCGAACTCAATCAGTTGTGAAACCTATCAATTCTACTCTTGTACAAGTACACAGTAAGAATCTTCTTAAAATCAATACAAAGAAAACTAAGTTCATGCTCATTGGAAATGGTAGTGATTATTGCCAATCCATGAGTTCTAATATAAAAATTAATGTGGGTAATGAAGAAATCGCAGTTGAAGAAAAATTAAAATACTCACGAGTTATAATAGACAACATGCTATGTTTTGAATATAATGCCGATTATATAATCAAAACTACTGTATTCGAATGGAACTATCTTCACCGAGTTTCACAACATTTGAACAGATGGATATGAAGAACGTTATTTGATGTTTTAGTACTTCCCCATTGCAACTATTGTGGATCTAATTTGTATATATCAAAACAAAATGAGATATTTAGACTACAAAAGCTACAAAATAGAGGAATGCGGAAACTATTATCTTGTAATCGACGTGAATCTATTCAACATATGCTAGCAGTCCTGAACTGGAAGTCTGTTTCCAAATGGTCATGAACATTAGTGTTTATTTATAAAATTAAAATGGGTGTAGCACCCTCATATCTTCTCAACAAATCTATAACTATCAGATTCACTTACATAAAACGAGAAACAGAAATAATTTTTATGTGTCACAACTTTTGAAAAGCTCTTCACAAAATTCCATATTTTTCAAGGGTCCAAATGCTTTTGATGAATAACCTGTTTCTATTCAAGAGGCAACCTCTCTCTATACCTTTAAAACAAGTTTAAAGCGTCATATGTTGAAGTAACCTGTATCTTTTTAAGTACTGACTTTATGCTATTGCATTTCTTTTCAACTTTCAGCTGGGATTAACCCAAGTTGAATGTGTTTTGAATTTTTTGTGTGTTTTGTGTTGTAGGAATATCATAATGCATATTCAAGTGTATGTAAATACAACTACAACTGTATGCAACTGTATGATAAATGATCAATATATATTGTATGCTATTCATTCTATGATATACTATTCATTCAACATTCAACATGAAGAAGATCATCATCATCTTTCAGCTTCATCTAATATTCGTCACTCTATATCTAGTTATTCAACATACAATACAGAGTTGAAGTAACATAACATTTTGTACATATTTTCAAACTACTGCCATTGAAAACAACTTGCACTTTCCTCCGTTTCCTCCTACACAATTTTTTTAAATGAAGCAGTATCGACTGATGAGTCATCAGCTGCTACTTTCTGACTTCACTAGGACAGTCAACTATATGTGATGGTAGAGGCTATCTTATTTCATGAAATTCAACGTATTTTTGCATTCTTTGTTGAGCATTTGATATCCAAAAAAAATGTGTATTTGCAAAATCCAATGACTACAGCTGAAAAGTGGGAGCAAAAGGCTGATTGGAATCAACAACGCTCGATTACTTTTATGATAATGGCACGAGATGGCAGTGTTGCTCGGCCTATGATATGATAATGAATAAACAAATTGATATACAAGGCATTTGGAAATTTAACATCTGTTGTTTACACGTAATATCTATGATAGAAACAATTTATTCCATTTACTTTACTCTTAATGTATTTGCTTTATACATACAAAATAGGCGCTAAAGGACGATTTTGCATCATTTTCGAAACTTACCAGTGGCATTACGTGATTTCATGTGTGCAAATAAATGCTATGGCTAAACTTCCATGAATAGGGAGAACCTACATCATTATTCATCTATTATAACGCCTCCAATTGTGCCACATAAGTTATGAGATTATCTCTACTTTTTTTTCCTGACGATTGCGTGAACTCTGAACAGACACTTTTAGTGCAGTACTATAGTTTTCGAAAATAATGCAAATATCGAGAATCCACACATACATACTCACGCAATTATAAGAAATTACACCCGTCATTTTTGTTAATTATTTTACAATCGCTAAACTTATCAAAGATACAAAAATGATAGCAGCTCACTTATTTTGGAACTTGATAATATGATATATGATGATGATGAATCGTGAACCTCAAAAACAGAAAGTTATACAGTCGTCAGATCCTGACATGGAAATTGCTGATAATTTCTATACCATGTTCAGTGCGTATACTTTGCAATATGCAGGGTGTGACATAAGTACGTTAAAATATTCAAGTTACGTATTCCAGAGAAAATTTTAAAAAAGAAAGTCTGTATGAACTTGTTTCCGGAAATGTTTCGTTTCAGAAATACAGGGCAAAGAAATTGATTTTTTTTTTCGTTTTTTAAAAATTATTTTTGCAGAAAATTAGTAATTTGCACGAAATTTGGTACCCGGGGTTTTTTAACAAGAAATCATGACTTCGTATCAATTTTCATGTTACATCTAGAGGGCGCTGCGTACACAGAACACTTCCCATGAAAAAAATTAATTTCTACACCTATTCCAAGTAAAAAAGATAAACTTCCTCAACACGGCTGGAGGTGATCGTTTTCGAGATATTTACTATCGGACTATCATTTTCCACTTCTGGAAAATATTAGTGATGCTTATACTAATTTATTAAATTACACAACTCACTGGAAAATACTCTTTTTTAAACTAACACAAAACGTATGGTTTACTTTGGTATAAGTATGAAGTAAGGTAAACTTGGAGTATCAATGAACATGTGATGTTTCTCTAAATAGTGTATATTTCTATTCATTAATTGTTTCGAAGTTACTAACGATTCTGGAATAAAAGTGGTCAACTGAGGACTTTACTTCCAAACTGAACTATCTATGTTAAATTCTCAACAAATTTATATATAAATTAGTTACTCATTCGTTTTCAGTTTGATTACTTGTACAAAAAATATTCAGGAAACACCAACAATTTCCATGCGAAAACAACTGTGCAAACCTTCTCGATTTCATACAAGAACCACCCTATGGCGATATTCAGAATCAATCGGTTTTCACTAACAAAATTTGTCCTGATCAGAAAACCAATTCAGTGATGCACATATCGGGCGAAACGTCGCCTTGTAACACAACCTAAGTATATATCTGAACAATTATGCCCCATTCCTCAATTATTGTCATATCTAAAGTTGGAAAAACAATTATCAACAATAAAACCTAACACATCCACGTTAATAGTCAAATACGTACTTAAATTTATTATTTCAATAGGCAGTGCTTTATTAAACAATCGACAAAATGTTCTTAGCGGCCATCTTGGATCCTATGGCACTTCTCGTTACAACCACCCACATCATGCAAACGATCAGATTAATATACCAACATTATTAAAAATACGTAGGACATTGATGCTATCAATATCTGACGCGCTCGAGTATGTCCATGCAACAGTATTTTTTTACATATTCAAAAATCTATAGCCCTTTCCCCCACCGATGAAAAGGTATATATTATATAACTTTTTTTTTCTTATCATCTAAGCATGACGCTCGAATAAATCCCCATTTTGCATCATGGGCTCCCCTGCTATAGTGTTTTCTTTTGCCAAATATCAGTGTCAGTTATATAGTATCATATGGTATTCCACTTACGATTCAATTCCATTTCATAAAACTACGGAATACCTTACCTCTTTTCTGAGTTTTTCTACCAATCGCCTTTTATCTTTCCGCAACCGATCAGCTTCCTCCGCTTGATGAGCACTTCTCATTCCTGATATTTCCAATAGAGCAAGATGGGCGTCTTTTTCACTGATTGCTGCTTCTAGAGCTTCACGTCTGTGATGAAAATGTAGTTTTACTCATTTTATAAGACGAAATCATTAAATTAGTTACTTCGAAATATTGTTACCGATCTATTCAAAAGCAATGCATCAATTCTCAGATAGCAAAATGACCATTTTGGTGTTACTGATCAACGGTATTGTAATGAGTTTTCGACATCCTAGAACTCCCCCAAGGTGGCCATAAATATCACTCGGATAAAACGAGGTCTATTACGGGTGAAATAGGTATCAAATCATGCAAGTTAGAGGACATTCAGCACCTATCATGCACCTCAGGTCATGCTGAAGATCCTTTCATTTTAAGATATGATGTTTGATGACTATTGTGTAGAATGAAACGGGGATCTCATTATAGAAGGTCTGGGAGTAGTTTCTACATAATTATGAAGTTCCCAATATATTTCGTAATTGTCATCGGGATATCGGGGATCATTCTGAATGCTCTCACTCTTACGATATGAAGAGAAATGTGCTAGTTCAACACATCTTCTCTTACAATATGGTTTGGTTTCACAGTGGTTCAGCTGATTGTGACTAACACACTACAATAATTTCTATTAGTCTCTGTATGTTGTAAAAATTGTCTTTGTATTTTCAGGAAGCGAGTCTACTTCTCTGTCGAAAAATAATGGAAAACCAAACTGTCTCAAATTCATATTCATTCAAAAGAAGTGGATGTTTTTTTTTTCATTTGAACGAACAATCAAATATCTAGTTGCCATTGAATGCTGAATACATCACCAACAGGAGATACAAAAGCTCTGCAATAATATCCTGTAGATATCTATGAGACTTCCTGGGGTAAAAATGGTTGCAGGAATTGGGATATCCTAATGAAAAATCTATGCTATCTGCGTTCTGGTTTATTTATTTATTTATTTTTTTACTGACAGGCGAATTTGCCGGAATTAATAAACCAAAATACCTATAACAGTATGTATGTGAGCTTTGGCATCAATTTGCTAATTTCATCATCTATGTCAAAGCTATTTTTCGGGTTTGTCAGTCACAATCTACAGATTTGTCTGCCTGCTTCATCTATAATTATGATAGTGATTATCAGATGAGATGAGGCACAAGTGTTTGTTGTTACCACAGCAGATACTACACCCATTCTTTGAGTCTCTCGTTTTATTCCTTTGGTGGTGGGTGTGAGTAGAATTCAGTGCATCATTGATGTTAATTTCCTCTTTCATTTTCGGTTGGAATTGGTTTTGTATTTTTGAATTTCTGTCACCTTTCTATATAGAACTTATTGATATGGCTTTCGAAAACAAAGATCAACAGGCGACCTTCTGTCGTATGTCACCCACATTTGAAATTACGCAATCGAGAAACATGGAGAGTCAAGAGCTGTTGCACTTGATATTTCTGAAGCATTTGACCATGTATGGCATGAGGATATATTGACAAAACTATGATGCTATGGCTTGTTCATTAAAATCAAGAATACAATAGATTGGTTTGATGACCACAACACACTTGTCTCGTCATTCCATTTGGATTCAAGGACATCGCCTACTGGTGCGCATCTTCATCGGCAGTAGAAGATTGCTTATCTTGATAGGAATCTACAAGGGATTTCGAATTGGGGAAACCAAATTCAATTCAATGACCACAACACACTTGTCTCGTCATTCCATTTGGATTCAAGGACATCGCATACTGATGCGCATCTTCATCGGCAGTAGAAGATTGCTTATCTTAATAGGAATCTACAAGTGATTTCGAATTGGGGAAACCAAATTCAATTCAATACTACAAAAACCCAGGCATCGGTTTTCTTCAGAAAGATGAATGTCTCCAAACCGGAATGACAGGACAGACAATTTTGCTTTCTGCTTCGATGAGCTTGTTGGGGGTTAAAACGGATACCAATATGTCTTGGCACAATCATGTTGCTGGAATTGCAAAGGCTGCTTTCCAAAAGCTTGGAACATTGTTCCGAACCAGAAAACTGTACACACCCCAGCAACTTTTGATGCTTTATCAGATCAGACCTTCTTTGGAGTATTGTTCTCCCCCTCTAAACATAACCTGAAGCTGCTGGATTCCATCCAGAAAAGAGCCATCCGCCTGATTGGAGACGCGAACATCACTTGCAACCTTGATAGTCTGGAACATCGAAGAAAGATTAGAGATTTATCTCTCTTCTATAGATACTTCCACGGACTTGGTAGATTTGATTCCACCAGCGATACCTATCATAAATACGCGACGGACTGTGACTACTCATCATTTTGAGGTTCAACTCAGTGCATTTCGAACTTCACTGTTTGAGAACCCTTCCATTTGGAGAACGGCGTTTATGTGGAATGAACTTCCTGAAAAGGTTTTTCCAAATGGATTTGATTTCCAGCGATTCAAATTCAATGTGAATCGCTACTTCCGCACAGGCATTGCTCTTAGAGCGTTTAAAAGATTTTTCTGCGGTGCTTGAGTTTTGTCCTGAAAAAAGATATATAATCCTACCAATTGTTTGTTTGCATTATTCTGTAGACCAATAATAAACCCTTTTCATTATTATCATTATCATTGATAACATCATCATTAGCATCATCATCATCATCATCAGTATTATTACTGTCATTTACTTTTTTACCGAAGGGTGAGCTGATCGGGCCATGAAGCCCTGACACATTGGAGTAAGAACGCTAGCATTATTAACCTTTGCTTTGTGCGTAATTATTATTATTTATAAATTAGCAATCATGTGTTCAACACTGCCGTTCCCATATTGAATATATTTCGAATATTATTCAAAAATGATGAATTGGTTATAATTTATATTCACACTTCTATTTTTGCAATCAACTTACTTCATATGAGTTAGCTCCTGTAAGTTCCTTCTTCTTTCTCCGACCATTTTGGTTAGCTTCGACTCTAACATCGTCATTCTCTTCACATACGGCTTGCAAGAGTGACAACGCATGGCTTGAGCTGACTGTAACGAAAGTAATCGTTGCTCCAACTTGCCAACCTGGGAATTGAAAAATATCCACATATCATCTAAAACAAGCAAGCTGAAGTCATCAATTCACTTCGTTCATTAAACTAAAACTCAAATGTGTTCACAACCCCAGTCGAAAAAGATTCAAATCTGTAAATTTTCATCCTTTTCAGGTGAAAAATATTCAGAGGAGAATAATCAAAGCTGTGTTATTCAAATCATGAAAAAGAAGTCTCTGTAGAACGAAACTGAAAGTGAATGACATGAAGGCGAATTTACTTGCAGTGTAATGAAATGTTCATTAGATTAATACGTACCATTGATGAAATAATAGTAACAAGTGAAAAAATTCAAACCTAACCTGAAGCAATATATCATAAAAATATCTGCAGTGTTAAATTTTTCGAAAGTAGATTGCTATACCAAAATTTTCATATACTGATAGAAATATCAGAATTGGCACTATTTAACCAAAATAAAAATCTCAAGAAATGGGTCAATCAGTTCATTTTGCTGAAATTAAGTTACACAATGGATTGATTGAATCCTCAGAACATATGTTTGTATGACCAACAACTTTCTGTTCAATTTTTGGGAATATTTATGATTTTCTCTAAATTTCTTCCAAAATTTTCATATACTAATTGTAGTAACAGAATTGGCACTATTTAACCAAAATAAAAATCTCAAGGAATGGGGCAATCAGTTCATTATGCTGAAATTAGGTTATGCAATGGATTGATTGAATCCTCAAAACATATGTTTGTATGACCAACAACTTTCTGTTAAATTTTTGGAAATATATATGATTTTCTCTAAATTTCTCCCAAGATTTTCATAAAGTAATTATAGTAACAGAATTGGCACTATTTTATCAAAATAAAAATCTCAAGGAATGGGGCAATCAGTTTATTATGCTGAAAATATGAGACAATTGAAAAAAATAACGACAAGAGTCAAACAGTAATTATGTTCTTCATAATAACTAAGATTAAAATTGAAATATTGCCTGTGAATTTGAATTAACTCCTTTCATGTGGATTGGATGTTGATGCTTTCTGAACAATTTTATCTATCATTATTTGTTAAAACAAGGTGCTGACTCACTTTTTTTAATGTATTGATGTAGAAATTTTTTTGATTGAAAGGAAAAAGAAAAAGGATCGAAGTATACGCTGAAAATTGAAATGAACATTTGGAATTTTGTCTCGTAGTGAACCTACATTTAGTTGACAAATAATAAACAATGATTGAATTTTTTTTATGAATTCAGCTTTTACAGTGGGTCATGCTGTATATCAATACATGTAAAATATCATTATATAGACATGTAACTCACCTTCTGCATTATCTGCTGCCTCTTCACCTCCTCGTCGTGAAGAACCGCCTCTCTCTCTGTAGACAATTTGATACTCTCTCTAAGAGCATCTTCCAGTTCACTTATTCTATTATCTCTCTCCTCCGCGGTGGATTCAACAATCCTCTCCAGGTCATTATTATTTTTCAAATTCCTTATTTCCTCCTCCAGCCTCGATATAACAGCGGCTTTCTTCTTGACTTCAGCTTCGATGTTCTCCAACTTTCTCTCGTACTCAGTGATGACATCATTCTTCCCTTCCAACGTCGTTTCGAGTATTTCTTTTTCTCGTTTGCTCTCTCTTAGAGCTTCCTCGAAAGACGAAAGAGTGCGTTGTAGTTCCTCAACGCTGTCTTTAGATTTGTCAACTGTCTCTTCTTCAGAACTGATACCGTTCTGATTTTCCTAATGGTAAGCAACGAAAACATACAAAACATAGCTTCGACACAACGCATTCATACGATCAACTCAAAGGTATTGGAGCGGATATAAGTAGTGGGAATGAGGCAAGATTGTGAGGGGGTATGACAAGACTAGAAAAAGCTTTTGAGGAAGCCAGCGGGTCCAGCCTGTATACGTACGCGTCCGGAGAAGCAGAATGGGAGAAGAAAACGATATTAGTAATGTGTGTGTTGTTAGTAGATATAATTTCGTTAAAGTTCCAGAGATGAATGTTCTTTGAGAGTCTTGATTTCATAATGAAACAGATGAATTTGTATCTAATCATAGGTGTCCCAGCATCAACGCAAGATTTGAATTAGCCGCTATTTACGTAGTAACATGATGGCAACCAAAAAAGAAATATTTTTCCAGTTGACAGTCTAGGAGTCTAGGGTTAGTGGAAATGGAGCATCATACGATAAAACAATGTGTCTTCATTTCCTTCATAATGAAAGTTTGGCAGCCGCAGTTCAAAAATTCCATACAAAATATGGTCGGAATGGTGTTTTGACTTTGATCCTTGAATAGATTATTTCAAAAATCACACTGAATATACTCTTTGTCTAAAAACAAGTCATTCAAATGTCAATATCGAAGCGGTACGTGAGAAACCACGAACATTGCAAATGTCGAAGAACTCTTTGAAGCGTATACTGAAGATCTGATTCTCCATGCACACACAATTCAGTAAATAAGTACAATAATTGGAGTCTATGAAACCTAACACAGCAAGGAGAGTTTTTTGAATGGATTATTGAACATCAACAAGTTAATGCTGAATTTTGAGCATAATTATACCAAGCGATGAAGCACATTCTCATCTTGATTGCTTTGTTAATCGACAGAAGTATCGCATTTGGCGTTCGATAAATAGTGACGCATCGTGCCATGGTTTGGTGTGGATTTTGAGCTGGAGGTATCATTGATCCATTGGGAATGGCCAAGCTCTCACTGTAACTGATGCTGGACGTCGCGACACAGTTGTTTGTGCCGAATTTAGATGGTATTGATGTGGCCAATATTTGGTTTCAACATACCCCCATGAAACAATTGAAATAATGCGTGGGACATTTTCAGGTCATGTACTCTCCCGTTTCTGTATCAGAATTGGCAGCACCCTAGATCGTGTGATTTCACACTTTTAGATTTCTTCTTGCGAGGTTATTTGGAGCCAAAGGTGTATGTCAATAAGCCCCCATTCACCCGTGTAAGAAAATTCAACGTGTGAGAAAATTCAATCACATTCATGCGGAATGGTCATGAAAAATTTTGAAAAAAGAGAGCGTTTGTTTCAGTAAAGTCGTAGATGCCATTTGCACGATGTGTTTTTACATAAACAGCCCTCTCCTAATCAATTCATAATGCAATAAAGAAAATAGTAATGAAAATAATAAAACTGTGTTTTCTTTTTTAATCAAATCTTGCCTCAATCATGGGACGACAATTCCAAAATATTCAACAGTATACCGAGAAACATACAAAATTGCAGAAAAATTATGATATTCAAATCTTTCTTGATAAACAAATGCTTTTACAGTCTATCAGAATTTTTCAGAGAACTGTAATCATTTCACCCTGTCACATGTCGTCGTCGTTATTATTTTACCTTATTTTCTGAGGTGTTATTCTGTGCTGTCTACACTTATTAGGTATGAAATACCATTGAATATTAGATATGGCTTACAAACATAACGATTACCTTACAATGAAAAGTGTTAGGTAATCGTTATATTTGACTGCTGTTGTTGCAAAAAATAACCACCGCAATGCAAAAAAATGAACGTTGAAAAATTTTCAGAAATGTTTGGCTTATTATTGAACTACTCGCATGAAATAATCAATGAAAATTCAAGATTATGATACATTAATCTTGGATCCCATCATCTGAGGTATTTGTGCAATATAGTAGTTGAGAAAATGAAGGAAAAATTCAAGCCCTAATCAAAGTTCCACCATCAAACTCAGATAGTCGACTGAAGGAAATTGGAGATCGAAATATTATTATGGATGGAGAGGTTGATATTTCCATTAAATTTATAGATTATTTTCCAAATAGAATATATAAAAATTATTTTACCGACTTGTCTCATTTTCTAAGTACTTGCGGAAATAAGAAATTACCTCTTCTTTTTGTGCTTGTTGCTGTTGTTGACTCTTCAGTTTCGTCTGTGCATTTTTGAGAGCTCTGTAATGAAAAAAATAAATGATATTCACAAAGGATTGGGGAAAACCAACAGACAAATGAAAAAGGATCAACATTTTTTCAGTAAGATTATGCATTAAAAAAACTGACACTATTCGCGGCTAAGATTTCTGCCTGATTGCCTAAGGACACCAATAATCAAAACAACCATCTCGACAAAGTGGTCTGGATAGGGTCTGCGGAGTTCAAAGAGAAAATCTCGATATTTTATTAGTCTTTCTTTCTCTTTTCGGACGATATTCGTCTTGCTAGGAGCTGAAAACTCCACTTCAAATATCGTCTTGCTCTGGTGGTCGAGAAGGACTACATCAGGCTTATCAGCTTGCATGATCCTGAGGATGGGGAACTAATAGTTCCAATAAATTTGGCACTTCTCGTAATATAGCACTCTGAGGGCTGTCTTATGTCGATGGATATAGGCCGTGACCGCATATGCTGGACATGCTGGTATCAAGTGCATTGGGGTTTCAGACGCCTCGCGGCAGGCCCTGTACCTTGTATCAGGAACCTCTATACTCATCACGCAACTGTGGTAGACTAAGGTGTTGAATACACCATCCTGGTCTCCAATGTAATTGAAAAATACCCCATGCATTGGCTTACCTTTGTGTTTCCGCAGACGTGAGGTGATCTCTGCAGCTTTTATATGAGCTTTTGTTGAACGGATTCCAACTCGGTGACAGAGTTATGGTCACCTCGTTCAGTGTCGAAAACTAAACCGAGTTCATCAGCTGCTCGGGCAGCTGCCCTAAAGAAAAATGCTCCAATTCCTGATCCCTCATGGTCTTGAACCATGCAGAGAAAAGGATTCGAACTCCTGACGACTTTACAGGTTACATCTAGTATCATTTTGTCATGTACACACTCCAAACTCAAAAGTCAACGCCCTCCCTGTTGTCGGGAGAAGCACAATCGTGGAACGGACGATTTGGGGTGCAAACTCCTATAGAGATGGATCATTTTTCAGGTCTTTACGTCGAGTTGATACAGCTATTCCTGAGTCCACTTCACTACTCCAACTACTCCAAACGAGTAGAGTAGGATTGGAACGGCAATCATATTTGTTGCAGCAAGTTTGTTCTTTCCCGACAGTTCCGGTGACCAGATCTGTCGAAGTTTGTGCTGTTACTTGCCGCGGAGAGAGTTCTTCACTGCTGTTACCTCTTGTGAGTGGCGTTGTTCCACCTTGAGGTAAGTATACGTCTCTCTGGCATCCAAATGGTGTAGGATGTTTCTATCTACGAGCTTAACATCCTCTCCGTAGTCCACGCATCGTCTTCTCTTGAGATGGACCATTGCATATTAGTCTATCCTGAATTTCATACCGATAGCATGCGTGTATTCTTCCACCACCCTCAAAGACTGATGTAGATCCTTCTTTCCAGAGGCATGAAGTTTTAGATCATCCGTATAAAATAAATGGGTCACCTTGTGCGTGCGTTTTCCGGGGGTGCCACAGTTATACCCTCGAGTATTTCTGAGCGCAACAGATAATGGCAATAGTGAGATGCAGAAGAGAAGAGAACAAAATTTGGGCTGGTAGGCTGTGGTCGTATGGAACTTGTAGTAACAAACATTTCGTCTGCTACTACAGCAGATATCATCAGTGGTATAAGCAATGACTACAAGGACAGAGGTTATAATATCTCAGAGTCAGTCTTTGAGACTTGACCTCACAATCCACTGGAGCTGTATGCCGTAGTAGTAGACGAAACGCTTGGCACTTCAAGTTCCTTTCGATCATAGTTTACCAGCCGGATTTTCTTCTCTCTAATTATAGAATATCTTTCATCATTCTTGGTCTACATTTTCTCACTCCTTCAACTTTTTCGAAACACATTTTTAATTTAATAAGAGAACTCATTTGTCTTGTGAGATTTTTCCGCTATATGTTCTGAGATGCTTACCACTTCTCATGTTTGTTGTAAAAAATATACGTTATGTTTTTATCAGTACTTACTGTTGCAAATCTGAGATCTGCTTTTCTTTAGCATTCTGTTCTTCTTGACTCATCTGAACCAGTTGTAGTAATCTCTCCATTTCTGTTGCAGACCGTTTTGCTTCCTCCTGTGCTTGTTCCATCTTCTTTTCAGCGTCCGCCAACTTTTTGTTCAATTCGGTCATGGCAGCCGCGTTTCCTCCAGCCTATGAAAGCATTGACATCATTTCCAGATTACATATTCAAGTAATAATAATAATATTGATAACCCTAAAAGGCATACATGTGTATATATTATAATTTCAAAAAATAGTAGGCACTGAATTCTCAAAAATGACTGACGTGTTAACTTCAATCTATTTGCAGTGGTGTACGAAAATTATACCACACAGATGATAAAAAATGAATGAAATTTATAGACTCATTTATGAAAACAATGTTTTCGTTATAATGTAATCATTTTCCTGAGAATTTAGTGCCTACTGTTATTGAATTGTACTTTAGAGGAAATGAAAGAGGATAACGAGTAATATGTAACAATAATAATTGAAACAAAAATATGATACCCAATAGAACTAAATTGAATCCAAAAGTGTTTCTGTTATTCTTTCGAAGAATTGATCAACTCAAGCCAATAAATCCAATTTCAGTCAAGTGTTGAGTTGTCTAAAATTAATACATTCATTCAAGAGTTTACTTGAGATATTTCCTCTACTTCAACATGGTAGCAGATGCACTTACCAAACCGTTGTTCATGCCAAGATTGAATGTTTTACGACAAACAATGGGATTGAACAAATTCGATGAGAGAGGGTGTTGAAAAACCACCATTTTCATAATTTGTTAATTTGTTTTCGTCCACATTGTATATGTTTATAGGTAGTTAAGAGAATAATTTTGACATAATAAAAATAGGAGATGAGTTGTCTAAAATTAATACATTCATTCAAGAGTTTACTTGAGATATTCCCTCTACTTCAACAATTCTGCCCAACTTCCAGTTATGTCTAGAGGCTTGATCATCAACCAATATGACGATATCATTTAATGCTATGGGTTTATTATCACTCGTCCATTTACTTCGCCTTGATAAGATAGATAGGTACTCTCTGTTGCAGCGATTCCAGAAAGAATCTGATAACATGCGAGATATTTTCCATTCTCTCCTCAGATTGTCTGCACTTGGATCCAATGGTACTAAGTCACCATCACCACTCGTCAAAGGTCGAGAGTTAACGATCTTTTCCGTTTCGACAAAACAAATTTGCAGTGTTTCTTCTTGAAGATTCTGATCATGTTTTTACTGTTCCAATCAATCTCTCCCAAGCCGCTCCCATGTGAGGTGAAGAAGGAGGAATAAACTTGAAAGTGATTCATCTTCCAGATATACAATCAATTAAATTGAAATGGTCCATTTCTTCGATGACTTGATATATTTCTCCTGCCGCACCCCTTAGATTAGTCCCATTATCGCAGAAAATAACATGAGGTTGTCCTCTTCTTGCAGCCATTCTCGATATTGCTTGAGGTGTTGAGGCTATTGGCTATTTCAAGGTGAATGGCTCTCACCGCGAGGCAGGTGAATAGAACTTTCCATCTTTTCTCTCTTTTGCTACCAATTTTTACGGAAATTGGTCCAAAGTAGTCCATTCCTGTATTGACAAATGGTCTGACTTCTCTTTCCAATCGTTCTTCTGGTATTTGTCCCATCATGGGCGGTCGTGGTTTACTCCTTTCAATTCTGTATCTAAGACATCTGGAGAATGTTGTTCCAACTGCTGCTCAGCCATGAATTATCCAGAAGTTTTGTCGGACTTTGTTCAGTACCAGTTCCGTTCCTCTATGAAGAGATTCCTCATGATAATGCTGGATGAGAAATTTTATGAAATCTTGCTTTGGACTCAATATAGCTGGTTGACTAACATCTTTTGACAACCATTTCGACACATTTGTTCGGCCAGAGAGAACCATAATTCCATCTTTTAGTTAAGGACATAGCTTACTACTTCCACTCAAAGGTTTTCCATTCTTGAGGCAGCAGATCTCTGAGGGAGAACTCTGTTGTATCTGTATCTGTAGAGTAGGTAGGGTGAGTGTAAGCCCACGCACTTAGGCCACATGTGGTTGGGCTCTATCGCACAGTGTGTTTACAAATTTGCCGGTCTGCAAGATAACTATGTCATCTGCGTATGCAATTGTGTAGAATCCATTTTTGTTAAGGTGATTAATTAGGGTATCCAGAACTATGTTCCAGAGAAGGGGTGATAAGACCCCTCCCTGTGGACATCCCCTTATGACCAGTCCTTTAACTGTGATGTCTTCTACATTAATACGAACACAACTCTGTTGTGTTCGTCTTTCTGGAAATTTTTGAACAAACTTCCGATTTTTGGTCATGTCTCACGGAAGTTGGCTCTTTCACGATTGTTTCTCGAACTGGCCATTTGAAGTTTCTGGAATTTTGGAACGATTTGCCTTGCCAAACTGGTCGAGCCAACCATAATGTACCGATAGGCTTCGATTCAAATCTTTGGGATTTACGCTGCTTCATATCGTGATCACGTCGGGGTCACCAATGTTATTCTTCCAGAAAAATTGATCAACTCAAGCCAATAAATCCGATTTTAGTCAAGAAGGAACTTTATTGACGTTTTCTACTATTTTTCAATCTTCAACTGACAAATCTTGTTTACAAAACAAATGAACACAAAATACACATACAGAATGATAAATAATGAGTAAATATTTATAGTTTCTATTTCATAATATTGATTATTTTCATGCACAGATATGGAATATGATACAATGTTCAAGCTGTTATTCCAGTCAAGTAGGATGAATTGTCACTAAATTTACCTTTCATTTTGAAAGTTATCCAATGCTTTGATTTTTTTATGGGATGGTGTTGGCAATCAGAATCGAATATATATTCATTTTTAACAATGAATCAATATCTAGTAAAAACTACTCGTTAAAAATGATTCATCACTATTCTCATTTTTGACAATTTATCTTTACAGTAGAAGTACTAATAGACAATACTCACTCTTTGTAATGAGTTTTGTAATTGGTCCAGTTGTTGCTTCTGTTTTTGTAATTGTTTATCTACATCTGCTAGTGCTCGTTCTTTCTCTTCAACTTGTCTACTTTTATTCTCTACGGCCCTTCTGTGGTCTTCCAACTGTTTTTTCACTTCTTCTACCATCTTCCTCTCTTCTTCGATTTGTCTTCTTTGCGCAGTTAGATCTTCTCCGGGTTTTTGAGCGATCACTGGAGCTGCAGCCTTCTTCTGTGCTTCATGTAGTTCCAACTGGAATATTTCACAGTTGTTTCAGTAGATAATTCGTTGAGAAAATATCGGAGTATTCAGGAATTGAACAAATCAAGGAAAGTTACAAGAGTCAGAAAAAAAAAGTTAATCAAATTGCTGGTATATGGAAGGATAGATCAATCATAGGAAAGACAATTAAAATAAAACTCAGGGACGTAAAATAAAGTTTTATTATCAGTGCCAAGACAGTCCATGCAATTGCGATGTTGACATATAGGTAAATGGTGGATCCCTTTAAAAACTGAAAAAAAAATAACAAATTAGGAAACGAATGAAAAGGTGTCTTTTAGTCCAGAGTGATATCATATGAGACTCATAACATGTGATGATACAGAAACTTCTACACATACAGAAAATAAGTTATGGATACTATGGAACATTATGTACGAAAAAACACGTAAAAATCTTAGCTTTTGCAATGTTTATTGTACTTTTTGACGAGTAATTTTATTTTCACTCAAAATATCAAAAATGAATGATCAAGATCCTACTGGAGTTTCATTGATGGTATTGAGGGAGGAAGGAAGAAAGCAGTTAAGTTCAAAATGAAGTCTCTACAGAGATCATGCATATAGTTTACTTTCATATACATACTGGAAGAAAAACTACTTCCATGTAAACATTGAATTACAAAAAAAAACTTTCGAAATAACTACTTTCATATAATAATAATAATAATGATAATGATTTATTTTCCCAAGGAACATACAATGTTTATAGCAGGGATAAAACAATAATTTAAAAACTAACTATAACATAAATGAGTAAGAACACAGCACAAAAAAGGGAAATCAGAACTGAAACTTGAAAATGCATATACCCACATATAGATATACACATATATAGCTACATATATGTTTGAATATGATTATCAACATGAACATAAATGCACTCATCAGATTTTTTTTCAAATTGATCCAGAATTTTTGTTTATGATTTTTTTCAAAGCATTCGGAAGCTTATTGTAAAGCTTGATATGATAAATCGAATTTTGTTTTCATTTTCATCAATTTAGGATTGCCTGTTATCTCATCAAGTGGTTGTGTTGGTCGCCATTGATTTTGAAAGTCAAATTAGAATTTTTCAGCTTATTTTTGACCAAATGAATTAAGGTACGTAATTTGAATTTATGTAAGGATGACAATTCTAATAGTTTTTTGGTTTATACAAGTTGACTGTAGGCTCCTCGTAGTTCAACGTGAATATATACCTTATAATTTTGTGAGATACGTACATCTCCTTTATGATGAAGAAAAGTATTTGTGGTCTCAATTAAGAAGCAAGTTTCAATATAGACAGATATAAACCAACGAAAAATTTTCTTGAATACGTCAAAAATATGTTGAAGTACAAAAATTCACCGAAGCAAAAATGAATTGTAACTTCTAAATAAGGTCACATTTCTGCTGATGAAGTACCACACACTTAACAATTGTAGTTGCTACTGAATTCATTGGCTCAGAATTGAAAATTTGTTTGAGATAGATTTGAAAATTCTTATGTTTTTTATATTGATCTGAATCAAAACATTGATAACGCTCCTGTTCAGCAGGAGATGAAAATATACCAGAACTTATGAAAATGACTACTGGTGAATATTTTAATATTTTATCGAATAGCAAAATTGTTACTTTTGTAATCATGACTTTTGTAATCATGATCCAGTTTACATCCGATTTACATAACTATTACTGGATCAACCTGAATGTCTTGAAAAATCCAAGTCCCAATACAATGTCCGGTTCATATTCCTGAAAGTTCCAGTCAAGTTTCGTTGAATTTTTCCACCTGTGCCTTTTAATGGTACAATGAGTCTATCGAGGCTCAAAAATTGATATTCTTTGGATGTCCAAGTTGACGGCATATGGATATCAATGGAATATCCATTGGATAAGCCTTTTCCCACAAAGGACGTCTCATGAATATCCCTAAGGTTCATTACGGACATCCATTGGATATCCAAGGGATTTTGTTCACTGTGTTCAGTGGTTGTAAGAACACAATAACCCTCAAACTTTTTTGTGTGAGCTGAGGATTAACAAAGCCTCAAATTCCAATGTTTAATTTCTAGCAAAGGTTAGACAATATATAGTGAATGTCCATTTTCCCAGAATTGGGATTGAACCTACATTACAATATCGGCAGTTTTATAAGTGAAAGCTCTGATCACTTTTTTAGGGGCCGACGTGATATATTAAGATGTGCATTGTGACATATTTCACTGTCGCAACTATCAAATCCATTGCAAGTCTATTTGAATTTATGGCGTGTACAATAAGGAAATCAGAAGTGGTTTGTAGGGATACAGAAGTGATCAGGTAATAAAAATGGGTCTCAAAATATATCCAGAATGCTAACATGAAAAAACATAAAAAAATATATAACAAGACGTACTAGATATAATATTATCACCATTATGTTGACCTATTTGAATATTGTTGGTGTTCAAAAGACAATAATACTGAATGCTGTGGTGATCACAAGCCTTCTGGAAAAATACTTTTCTGTTGAAGGGCTGCTTGATTTGCAATAGCTCACCTGATTTCTTTCAAGTTCTTGTACCAACATCTCAAGCTGTGCCTGCAGCCTCTCTTTCTCCGTGAAGAAACTCTTCACCTCAGCCTGGGACTTCTCCAGCTCCCTTCTCAACCTCGCCATCTCCTTCTCATCCTGCGGAGGCGGCTGTATTCCCCTCTCCTTCTGGTACTGGGCCATTTGCTGCAATTGCTGCTGCAATTGCTTCTCCATGACCTGTATGCGCTTCTGCAGGTCTTGGGCAGTTTTTTCAGCCAGGTCAGCTCGGTCCGTTTCCTGTTGGACGACTTTCCTCCACTGTTCCAGTTCGGAATCTCCTCTCGCCCCAGATTCGTGGAGGAGTTTTTCGGCTTTGTCGGCTCTCTGCCGGTGGGTTTCTCGTTCTTTCTGGACTGCCTGAAGCTGTTGCTGGAGCTTGGCAATTTCTTTATCGCGGTTCTCGAGTACGTCCTTCGTGCCTCGTTCCATGTCATGGGTCATTTTCTTCTGTTCTGCTTTCAGTCTAGAATTGAAAGATTTCATAAATCATTGATCACTCATTTTTATTAATGTTCTTCGAAAAAATTGAGCATTATTATTTCGGTAAGGCTATATAACTGAATCATGATGAGAACAACTGCAATTAATACCGGGTATTGCCCCTCCTTGTTCTGAATAAAGACAGGATTCTTCTCAGCATGAGGTTTGCAATCGTGTCCCGAAGAATGTTATTCCATCGTTGATAAAAAGCTTCACGGAAAGCCATATGATTCCGTGAACAATCCAACCAGATCTTTGGGTTTCTATCGGGTCATTAAGTAGGCCGAACCATCCCTTCTAGTCCAACGCAATGTAAGAATGGGCAGTGAGTTGTTTTGCGACTTCATGTATCAGTAAAAATTGTTCTTCAACAAATGTATTGGATAGAACTGAGTGCTAGAAATATGTTCAATACACGTATTGGCCGTGCAAGTTTTGTATGAACGTCTCAAGAAATTGCTTTCCAAATCATAAGGACCCGCCTTCAAAAGTCTCTCGTTCGATTATCATGCTTTGTTCATTTCCATAATAATAATTAAACAATTTTCACGAACATTTCCATTTCTAGACGCGTTCCGCTAACACCGTAGCTTCTTCTGTAGCTACGATGTTACGGTAGTCCATTTGACAAATTACAATGAGTGGTTGAAGTTAAGTTATGGTGTCTATAATGAAGGAACTGAAAATTGGAGTAGTTCATAGCATTTGAAAAACATATTTCGAACATTTTCTTCACTCAGACTTTTCTTTTGAAGACAGTTGAGTCCAGTAGATCAATCACCATGTTTGGTGGTGGTTCACGAATGCTTTACTGTGGGGTACGGTTTCATTGAAAAACTCATTTCCTTCTGGTAATATCATGTGGTTAGTGGATTTTTGAAGTTGCAATTTGTATCAACGTCAGTCATTTTTGAGCTATGATGCATTAAGTTAGGTTCACTAGTTGAGAAGATTAAGGTCACTGGATGGTTCGAGATTGGTAAGAAATGAAAACTCTCTGAAATGAAGCGTTACTGAAAAAACGTTCCAGAAAAACGATTGGACAAGAGTATTGTTTACTATACAGCTTCTAGGGTTAAAAAGCAACTATCTGTGTGACTGTTAATTGAACTACTTGAAAGATTATGAAAGAAAAATTGACAAATATATACTCTGTAACTATTGAATAGCACATAGTCGTTCTGATATCAAAGAAGCATGTCATGTTCCTAAGAGAACTCAAGATTTTGGGAACAGAATAGATTTTCATCATCTATGATCGAGTGTCTTCATGAGAGCATTTTTTACTACGGAACCATGACGTCTTTATGAGCTGATTGAACCAATAGCACACCGTGTGAGAATCGAAAATGACGAAGAACTCACCTGGCAACTTCCGCTTTTTGTTTCTCTAGTTCTGCTTCACTATGGTTGAGTTCCTGTTGGAAGTTCATGAGCATGTCTTGGGATTTCTCCAACTGCATCACTAGTTGATCCCTTTCCATAGTAAGCTGCTTGATGTCAGCTTCATACTTGATTATCTGTTTCTCTATCGATTCACCTTGACGACCTTGCTTGTCTAGCATCGCTGCCATTTTTTCTCTTTCTCGAGAAACCTGAATAATATAAAGGAAATCATAAAAATGATGGAAAAAATTGATTCATTCAGAAGTCAACTTTGATTGGAAATGAATTATAAACGAATGCTACAGGATAATAGATCGTGTGATAGATCAGAATTGCTATCATCAAATTGCTATAAACCACAATTCAATGGGTTTCGAGGTTGATTCATATTAATAATGTTATTATTGTAGGAAACCTCAATTTCAATGCTGAATAATATAAATAATTTGAACGCAATGCAAAATGAATACTGGCCTGGTTTTCATATATGAGATGATTTTAGAGTATCCATTCATGGGTACCAGTTAACAATGGCTTTCATCTCCTTCTCATGTTTGAAACTTAGATCGATTGAAAAATATAGGAGAAACAAATAGTATTTTGGCATATAGTGTAATGTGTTGCTTGAAACCAACATCATCTCAGTTTGATTATTCCCATTTGTTCATACTTATTTGTTCACAATTGAACCTGTTTGACAAGAGTGTGATAGACAAATTGTATATCCTTTGGTTTTTAATTGTTTCACTTACTTACTGCCCTATTGAAAACTAGGACTTCTTCTTGGAAATGATATAGTACTTATCTAACCTTATACTCCAAAGTGACCAAACGGTAATTTCTGGTAGGTTGATTAAAAATGAGCTCAAGTGGACATGTCATTATTTGATTCGACTTTGACTTCTAGTATATTTAGCAGGTTCATTTGGCTTGCAAACTATTCAATTAGAAGAAGTCTTCAAACATTTTGAAGATGTGAAATTATTTCCTATAATCATGAAATAAAACTCGAGAAAACCATCATTGATTTGCGAATGCAACCAGGGCATTTATGTATTTTTCATCAATATGATTATTACGAACTGCGTTTATTTATGCAATTTCTTCAATTTTTGAATAAAATCTTGATATTTGAGTTGAGAAAAACCACCAAACATCAGAACAAACAGAAACCTACATTTCAATGATCTTCATGTGAGCTCAATGAGAATCTTCGAACCCCCATCCCAAAATTTTATTTTCAATTTTTTGATGAACGTGGTAAATCATTCGAGCGAGTCATTAACATTTGTCCCGAGTAAAATACTATACTTTTTAATGACTTTATAT